AAATTATGTTCTTTGAAAATGTAAATGAAGAATTTGCATTGTAAGCACTCTCAAGCCTACATTTTGTGTTAGATATTTATGAAATTTATATTAAGGTTTTTGATTCAGCCATGCTGGATCTATGCGATCACTCTGGTATTGGAGATGGTGCAGAATACTAAGTTGAAGACATATCATGAAACTAATTATGTGTTTTTATTACTTGCAGAAACTTTTTACACCATTTTAATCATCAACTGCAAACTTTTACATGTTATTTGCCCTTAAATTAAGAAAAGAATGGTCAAATAGTGACTTTATTTTAGTTATACACTTGCATAAAGTTCCTTTCTAAATCAAAATTTATGATGATTTACTATTTATGAATTAATTTGAAAAAGTATTTGTACATCAATTGAATCAGTTGATAAGAATTTTGAAAGTATTATATTAGTATCTTGTGCTTGTGTAAATTATTGTTCAATGATATGTAGGTCAACATGTGTATTAATATATCTAAGTTGATTCCCACACTTTTTTGATATGGGATTACTCCAATTCTTTCCATAGGCAAGTAAGAGTCAGAATGATTATTAACTGTCATGATTTTCAAATAAGTATTAATTAGAAACAACCCCAGGCTTAATTCAAAACAGTTAATATCTCATGACCTGTTAAATAATTAAATAGACACAATTTATTACACACCTAACTGAATACACACATTCTTGACTTCAATAGTAAACCTACAAATGTATTATTTATTTTGATCTACACTACATTAAAATATTCTGTTAATTTTGCTAGCTAGCTGAATGATTAATCTGATGTGTTTTTTTTTCAAAGAAAATACTTAAAATGAAAAAAATATGTATAAAAAATGCAAGCAAATTTTTATTTTACTTGTAAAATCAGTGCCATTATCATCTGACATAAGTCAATAATCAAGTTCTTATTAATTAGTTACAATAACCAGAAATTTTGTTGAAATATTCAACAAAATTGCATAACTCTTACCTGAGCATTTTCTGCAATAAAATTTATTTGTTTGTTTTACATTTATATCCCATTATATGTTGCTATTTAACAGTAATTGGAAATATCTCAGAATAAGGTATTTGTACATTCAGATTTGAATACAGGAAATGTATTTTTTTCCTAATGAAGAATGAACACCAATTTAGATAAAAAATAGTTATTATTTTTTTTAATTTTTGTTGTTGAGAAAGTGCATTTATAAGGCCTCTTTCTGGAAATTATTAAACCTGTCATTATTAATGGCATATAAGAAATATATTACTTGTTTGACGATTTTCCTTTCCATTCTTGTCAAAAATAAAATCTGACCGAGTTTGAAAGATCAGTATATATATCTATATTTGCATCAATATTGCGAAATTCCCTACCTTTGGACAATAACATAGATATTTTACAGTAAGATTGGAAATTAAAAGAAAAAAAAATTTAGAAAAAAGTATGGTCAGAAAGAATATGAGACTAGCTATGAATATGGCTGGATTACAACATCAACGATGCTTTGATTTTTAAATGCAATTTATATTAAACATTGCATTGTAACACTCTCACATCTACATTTCTTGTGGGATTTAAAAAAAAATATATATGAAAGAATTCTATGAATAAGGTCTTTGAAAAGTTCTATAATCAGTGCAGATCTACATTTTTTGTCTCCCCTGCGAAGAAAGTAGTAAAATGCAAGACAGGGATTATAATCTGGCTTGCAAGGTCTACATGTCTGTCAGATAGGGTTCACCTGACCTCGACTTGATTTCATGGACAAGTGATCAAGGTTAAAGTTACGCGGTCAAGTCCATATCTCTGATACTATAAGCAGTAGGTCAACTATATTTTTGAATGAAAGTAAGGTGTACTTGTCCGACTGGCAGGGTTTCCCCTGGATAAATTTTCTTTTTCGCCACCTCTTTCACCACCTCTTTCGCCAAAACAATATTTATTCGCCACTTTCAATTTTTTTCGCCAACATAATTTCCGTTTTAAATTTTCCTACTTGCTAACAAAAAATCAGTTTGCAGCATTGTTGTCTTATCTATTATAATTCTACATATCTATTTTTTAATCTTCAATGTACATTGTAATAAATAAACACTCATTATAAACATTTACTTTTTAAAAGATACTGTAAAGTTGCAATATAAATCATAAAATCATCATATTTGATTTCTGGGAACACAGGATTCATCTTTGATAAGTTCATCAGATACTTCCCCTCTAGTTGAATGATAAAGGCTGAAATCAGAGATTTTTTTTACTTTTGAACATTTTTCTTCATAACAACAGTTTTCTTTTCTGCACCAATGTTAAAAAAAAGTTGAGAACTATACTCGTGCGTCAGGGAAAAAGTCTGAGAAACCTGAAAAAAAAACAAGATGGACAACCAACTGTTATATTTCTTTCGCCAAAATTCTTTCGCCAATGATGAATTTTAATCGCCACAATTTTCATTTTTTCACAAAATGCAAAAATGGGGATAATCAATGGAAACCCTGCCATCTGGCAGATATAATCATAACTTGACCTCAATTTCATCGTTCATTGGACAATGTTAAGATTTTGTGGTTTGATCTTTTCCTCAGGTACTATAAGCAATAGCACCACTATATGTAGTGTATGGAATGATTGTTTGGTGTACATGTCTGCCTGGCATGGTTCATCTCACCATGACTTCATTTTCATGTAAGTTTATTTGAAACTTGCAGTAAAACCTTCATATTACAGACTTTCAACATGAATTCAATCGTAAATAAAACAGGTGAGACCTTTCAGCGTGTGCAATCTTGTTATTTTAGGGGACTTAGAAATACTGGGGGTCCGTCTGTGCATTGTCTTGTTAGTGCTCTCACGTGTGCAATTCTCATCAGATTTTTATGAAACTTATATCATACGTTTCTATCAGCATTGTCTCGGACAAGTATGTAAATCAATGCCAATCAACAATTATTAAAAGAGTTGTGGCCCTGGGAAATATTAACTATATGGATATTACATTGTTAGTGCTCTCATGTGTACAATTCTTGCCAGATTTTTATGAAACTTATATCATAAGTCTTATATCATAAGTTTATATCAGCAATGTCTCAGACAAACTCGAAAATCAGTGTCGATCAAATATTTTTAAAAGAGTTATGCCACTTGGAAATATTAATTATACAGAAAATTGCATTGCATTTGTTATCAAGCCTTCATTTCTCTAAGATATTTATAAAAATTTTAGAGAACAAAAAAAAGTTTATTTTAGTTGTTGCCCATGGACAGATAAAATATGTGCAAAGAAGGGGACATTGGAAATCTGTTCTTTTATTATGCTTCTTTTACTCTGGTAACTCTTAAAAATTATCTTTTATCTAAAAAATAAATGTGTATGGTCTATGTCATATTTTAAGAGCTTTTAGAAGAATCACAAATGAATTTTGTGTCTGTGAGAAAGGAAACCATCATCATTTTGTGGCAGCCATATCATATTGTTCCTTATTGGCTCTTGCATTATAATTAATTATTATCTGGCCTTGATTGAGTAAAAAAGAAAGACTTAGGTATGCTGTTACCTACGGCAGCGGCAGTTTAGGTCAGTTTAAGGGAAGCCACTAATAATGTAGTATGCATTTAAATAAGCATTGGCAGATCTCATTTCCATGGAGATTATTTGGCCCTGTCCACTCAGTCATAGTCGATTGACTTTTAAACTTTTGCATATTTTACACGTCAAAGTTTGTGATTAGGTCAGTTTAAGGGGAACCACTTATGATAAGTCAATGATATTTGGTATGGATGTGTATAAGCATTTGCACATCTCATTTTTATGGAGAGTATTTAGCCCTGCCCCCTAAGTCATGGTCTATTGACTTTAAAACAGTTTCTTGGCAAAAGCATTGGCATATAATTTAGTCAGATGACCTTGACTGCTATTCACAGTTCAATGATCTTTTATAAAATCTGTACTACAGTCAGTATCTCAGTAAACATTAGTTACACTAATAGGTCAACTATAAAAGTCTTTTGAATTATTGTAAGGTGTTCATGTCCATTGGTAGGAGTCCATGAACTTGACCTTTTTCATGGTTCAATTGTCATCATCAAATTTTCATGCTGATGCCAATTACTTAGTAACCATGACTAAAAGGTCAACAAATTTTGGTCAAAAGAATGATTGTCTGATAGAATTAACTTGACTTCTTTCAGTTCAATGATGTTTGATAGAATTATCTTGACTTTGGCCTTCTTTCAGTTCAATGATCAATGTAAGGTTGTCAGAATCAGAGCAGTATCTCATTTTCCTCGAGTAATAGGTAACATTTATTGGGTCTGTAGTAAGGTTGTCAGGTGTACAAGTCACTCTGACAGAGGCTATTTAATTTTAATCTTGTTTTCATGTTGCAAAGATCAGTTATAAATTTTAGTTTCAATTTTTTTCTTCAAGATTTAAGAAATTGTCAATTTTCCAAAGAAAAATTGGGGGTCACAATTGCTAATTCTTTGTATATAGTCTTGCGCAACAGCACAGTGTATTGCACAAAAGCAAGAAATCTTCAATTGAATATAAATTCAAATCAAATAACCAATTTTAAGTTCTTTGACTACATTTATTCTGTGTCAGAAACCTATAATGTGTCAAATATTTAATTACAATCCAAATTCAGACCTGTATCAAGCTTGAATATTGTGTCCATTTTTGCCCCAACTGCTCATGGTTGGACCTCTGTGGTCGTATCTAGCTGCGCTTGGCGAAGCAGTTTATTTTAATTTTAGTTTCATTTATATGTTTCAGAGTTTAGTGTGACGTCAATTTTCACTGAACTAGTACTCAACAGCTGAAGCCCGCCTCCGGATACGGGATTTTCTCGCTGTGTTGAAGACCCATTGGTGGCCTTGAGCTGTTTTCTGCTCTTTGGTCAGGTTGTTGTCTCTTTGACACATTCCCCATTTCCATTCTCAATTTTATTGTGTATAAAAGTATATAAAACAGTGTGTTTGTGTATTTTCAGATGGTATTGGAAGTATGGTAGAGACTTGATCTGGAACAATAGAGGAAAAGTAATGCAAATGTGGCATCAACTTAGAGGAAAGCAAAGATAGAAACTTATACTAGGACAAATATATTTTATTAAAGATCTTATGAATCATCATTTTATTCTTATTGATTAACAATGCTTCACTCATATGATGTATAATAATACAACTCTAGGAAAATTGAAATTTCAAGAGATAGTTACAGTCATAATTGATTTTTAACAAACTCAATTGTATTTATGTCGCACATTGACAGGGTCAAAACGGATGGCATAGGAATGCTGTTTCCGTTGGCGGCAGTGTCAGCAACAATTTATTAGTTTGTGATTAGGTCAGTTTATGGGGAACCACTAGTGGTAGGTCAATGATATTTGGTATGCAGTTGTATTAGCATTGGTACATCTCATTTCCATGGATATTGTTTGTCCCGTCCCCTCAGTCATTGTCTATTGACTGAAACTTTTGCTTAGTTTACATGTATTAGTTTGTGATTAGATCAGGATATGGGGAACCACTAGTGGTAGGTCAATGGTATTTGGTATGCAGTTGTTTTAGCATTTGCACATCTCATTTCTATAGAGATTAATGACCCCGCCCCCTCAGTCATGGTCTATTGACTTTAAAACTTTTGCTTAGTTTACATGTATTAATTTGTGAATAGGTCAGTTTATGTGGAACCACTAGTGGTAGGTCAATGATATTTGGTATGCATATGTATAAGTATTGGCACATCTCATTTCCATGGAGATTGTTTGGCCCTGTACCTTCAGTCATGGTTCATGGACTGAATATTTTGCTTAACTTATATGTTAAAGTATTGCTTTTTTAATTTCAACATTTACATTTTACTATCAAAATAACAAAAAGGTTAGACATATCTGTTAGACATATCTGTGTTAACAGTTTATTTAATTGAAATAAGATATTTTAGATGAGGTTTTAATTCTTGACTTTGTTATTTCTTTAATTACAAACTATAGTTTCTTATGAACAATGCTAACAAGGAAGCTTTTATACCAAGGGTGTCTTATGGTAGTTGAAGTCATCGTTTGAAAACCTATTTACCCTGTTTCAAAATAACAAGCTTTTTAAAAGACTATTATAAATTGATAGTATATAAATGAAGGAACTAAAAAAACAGCAAAAAATGAAGGGTCCGTGTGCTTGTTTTCAAGATATAAGCCATTGAAAATTTGGCGGGAAATGATTCTCTCTAGACTCTTCATACATATAACATTGGCACATTTTTTCTTTCAAAAACAATGAAAAAATAACAAAGATTTTATAAGATTTTCAAATATGGCTTTCTAAACTATATGTAATATAATTATGAAAAGAAATACAGGTGTTAGCAGGCAAAATTTTTAATGGCACTACATGGATAAAACCAGAGGATTCCGAATATCTGGCAAAAAAATCAAAAACAAAAGGAGCGAACATCCTTAATTACCATGAGGAACACAAAAGGTGCTTCTAGCGGAGCAGGAACTGCTTACCCTTTCTTGTAGGGTTTTATTGACTGTTGTTTGTCTTTTCATTGTGTTGGCCAAGGTGTTTTATGTTTTTCGTCAACAGATGGTTTTTGATTGCTTCATTGGTATCCATTCCCCCTTTTTTTACAGCCAAAAATTCACTTTACTGAAACTTTTCCTCTTATTTGCCTATAGTCAGTCTAATATTAATAGAAAACCTTTGTCATCCACTTTGGTATGTGTACTTCACCTTGATAGAATATGGTTTATGTTGGAGATCATTTACAAACGTAAAAGATAGTCGATTTCCTATATTACTTTCACTTATATTTCAGCATGAACTAACTAACCCCCCTTAGCCTAACTCTCCTAAATTGGATTAGTTTTGATCATACATTTCTTATCAATTTTTAAGAATTAAAAATTATTCCTTGTTTATACATGAATAGTAGTAGGTAGTCGATTTCCCAGAGGCTAGCTTCCCTTGAGACAATGAGGCAACTGCCTCACTAAATTTTTATCAATAAAAATAGAGAAGATAAAGATAGATAAAATATGTAACTTGTATTCCAAAGTAGAGTTCAGATTGAGGATGGTTCAAAACATTGACGGCTCTATCCTTAAAGCGAGCATTCCTCAATTAACTTAAAAACTAATAATCAATTATATTTCCTGAAATGACCAAGATAGATACAGATTTCTTGTTTAGAAATGGACAATGTAAACCATGTTACAAACTTGATTCAAACAAGAGGTCAGAACTATGAAACTGACATGATGCTTTATTTTTGTTTACATTCGATAGATGTGGTTTTCAACAGACACTTTGCATTCCCATGGGAACCAACTATTCTGCCCTTCCACCGATATGTTTCTTGTTTCACATGAGCAGCTAGAGCTTCATAGTTCAACTAGTTAAAATATCCAACCATGTATCTCGCAAACTTGTAAAGTTACAAGACGTATAGTTGATCTTAAATATCACCGAATCAGTACAACAGCAATTTATGGGTGGCCAAGATTTTGTCAGTTAATTTTTGTTTTTGATCAATCATTGTTTAGCTTTGAATACCGAGAATAAAATTTTAATCAAATAGTTTCATTCAAATGTATATAAATGATCAAATGCACATTTAAAAAATACTATGATAAAATGCACATTTAAAAAATACTATTATTTCATGATAAAAGACAGGAAATCCGCTAAAAGTAACAATAAGAAATAACAAGCATTCTGAGAGTATTGCATGGCAATACATAGTCCCCTACCGGTAAAAAATTCATTGTACTGGATCAAAATTCTAACTTGATCAATAACTTTGTCATGGTGTAAACTATACAACAAATATTAAATGAATATCTTCAAGCACGAAGAAAAAAAGTGTGGAAAACTTATTTGCCGGACTGACGGATGGACAGACAGACAGGCAGACGGAGTGTAAACCTAAAGTCCCCTTCGACTTCGTCGGTAGGGGACTAATTATTTTTACTTCCGAGACTAATTGCCGAAATGTATTTCCGGAGAGGGATCTACTTTCAGGTGTCAGACCACCAATTCACTCACTCCAATTTAGAACGTATATAAAAGTAGCCCTTTCCTTGACAAAAAAATAGTGCTTTTGATGTCATTGTTTACTTAAACTAACCAACAAATTTGCAGAAATGACACTTTTGTTGAAAGAAAAATATATGTAGACCATTTTGAGACAAAATTTACTTGTCCATGAGTTTGCATTAAAAATTGAGGATGAATGGGCTGCATAATATACTTATTTAAGATTTCCAAAAAAAAACAGGGGTTATTTTTAGCAGTACTTGTCTTCCGAACGTTAGTATTTCCTTACAAGACTACAAACATAGGTTGAAAATTGGCATGTAGAAAGATGATACATGTACAATTCCGGATATACCTGGTTTCTATCAAGTTGAATTTAAGGTTAAATATTTAGAAAGCTGTGAAATTTGCAAAATATGGTTGAATAGATTGGGATTTTGAATTGGTGGTCCTACACCTTTCATATTGAAATTGACGGTAACAATAAAATTATTTTTACTGTTTCCTGCAGTTATTGTTATCGACTTATCGTATACTTCGGTTTACATAAAAAATATATGAATAGAAAATTACTAAATTAACATAGCAATGATAATTTAAACACTTATACATGATAAGAAGTATTATAGCTATTTATTTTGTAGGCACTTCCTGCACGTCCAGGTATGTAACCTTATGTGACATTTTGAGGCCAACACATTTTAGGTGATAACACTCCAGACATCCATCGCAAACTATAGATTCATATATATGGACGTCAATACCCACTCTTATGCTATGCCCTTCTTCTGTTTTTTTAGCATTTTACATGAAAAAAAAATGGTTGATCCATTACTCCTAATGAAATGGCTATTCCATAACGTGATATGATTGAATGCGTGAATCTAATCATATTAAATGCAAGCAAATTGAAATTTATGTAAAGATATGAAAAATCCTGTTTGTCAAATAAGACTGCCCAACTGTAATTGTTCATGTTCATGAATATCTAATTATCCTATTTTTATCCTGCAAAATGAATAATGCAGTCGAAATTCGTGCTCAAGAATATTGTACCTGGGGTAACGATATCTTACTTAAAATAGAATATTGTAAACATTTGAAAGAAGTAAAAGCACTCAAGATTCTTATCAAGAGAGAAATAGAAGACAAAAAAATATGATTTTAATTGAAAGTAAATTAAATGGTTATGATGAAAAAAGTAAGTTACTTTTATACAAAATTATAGAACTTGGTCAAGATAAAGAATTTGACTTAAGGTACCACGATTTTATTATATAAGTGACCACAATCTTGAAATAGAAAGGATAGATATTTTAAAATCCCTCGAGAAGATAGACTTTGTAAACTATGGCATATTCTTCCTTAGAATTACCTTAGAACTTTTATTAACACTCTAGGCAGTTTACACTGTAACAAGAGGCAGACAAATGATACAAATGATATTTTACAATGGTGAACAAGATAGAAAGAAATATACATACATAGTTCATTATACCTAATTCTCTGTACACAAGTATACAGTCACATTAATAACACGTGAAAATCATTCAGAGGTGTGATAATGGGATTTCAGATCGCCAGTCGAATAAATGTAAATGATGATAATATATTCATAAGATGGGCTTTATCGAAAGCTTCTGTGTTTTTTTTGTTTTTGTATCCTCTTGATTTTAGTTGTTTTCTGAGTTGTCCCAAACGGTAGTTGAGTGTGGATTTCGAGGGGGAAATTCGCTTTAGTCTGATGGCTTGAATGTAAAAAATGCTCCTGGAGCAATGTTTCGGGTGACAACTTTTCGGAGAGAGAAACTGGTGTTTGTCAGTTTTCTTTGTGTGGAGATCAGTTGTCATGACCCCGTTTTTTACAAATGTGGTGGTATCGAGAAACGCAATTTTCTCGCTCGAAAATTCAGATGTAAATTTTATTTAATGATGGAACTTGTTACAATGATCTAAAAAATCTTGTAGATGTTCTGCAGTATCGTTCCATTTCATGTCATTATCATCAATAAAACGGAGCAAAGACAAGGGTTTGTATGACACACCCAAAAGGATGCGTTCTTCAAGATCCCCCATAAAAATGTTGACA